TAGTATAATATTTTTCTTCTAGCAATAAGTTCGCGGAGGTATTTTTGTAATCTTGTTATGGATACGAAGCAATGATTAAAAATGACACTGTACAAATCAAACGTAAACAATTCATTTTAATCTAAATTGTAGATAATCTACATAAAAAATGACGTAATTTCGAAATTATTATAAACATTTTATATTATTTATAAATCCGAAATTCGTAGACTATAATGGTAGAGAACGATTCCCATATAAAATTAAGGCATAATATGATGAATATAAAGGTACCACACGATTACGTACGTTAAACGATTAACTTTAATATTTACCCCAAAAGTCAACATTGTATATAATTTGTTGTGCAAGGTTGCCACATTTAAGTTTTAATTTTTGAAAATTAATTCTGAAAAAATAACTAAAGTCAAAAACATAAATCTAAATATTTTAAATAATAAATGGTTAAAATAATGCGTAAAAGTATATTCAATTTAAAATTGTATACCTTGGTACCGCTTAAACAATTAATTTTTGACAAATATGTAACAATAATTTTATGGATTTTGTATTTATTATATTCTTTCGTGTTTTCTTTTATACGAATTAAATCAGTGGTTTTGGAAAAGCGCCCCAGGGATAAAAAAAAAAAAAGAATATTGTTTTATTATTGATGACGTGTAATATATTCGTAGTTTCAATATTACGCTTTGAACTTAAAATATATAACTATACAAATATTATGATAATTAAATAATTATATTGATAGGTGTTTGAAAAAGTTTTGTTAACTGCGCTGTTTTTATATTCCAATAGTTATTAATTTGCTGTAATGTAAAAGTAAACTGTAAATTGGTAAAAAAAGTTGTATAAAATAATATCTATTTATAGCAGTTATTTATCTTATTTATCTGTGCAACGAAAAAAAAAGATAACGATTGTTCTTGTTAACCCTCCCCCCAGAGCAAGATCGAATTTACGCCACTGCACAGGATGATCTATTATATATTGATTTGTAGAAAACGTGAAAGGCAAATATAGCGAGACCAACCGCTCTCTTTATATATAATGGGTAGTCCAAGGTTGGGTGCATAGAAATAATTAATTAGTTGGTAACAATTAAAATACAAAACGCACATCGTTAGCTAAATATTGTATTGGCAATTATGAGGAAACGAACTAAGAAGAGTTCACATAAGCCCGGGGCACTAATTATAAAATATACATTTACTTAAAACTCAACTCGAACCGTTTCGGGCCAATCGTATTAATATCACGAAAGGACCACAGTTTCTTGCACAAGAACGAGGTATATAGGAGGACCAAGTCCCTGGCATCCCCGCTTTGAGCTTCCGTTAAAAAACTCGGGACGGTCGTTTATACTTTGTTTGTACCAGTTTGTACCACAAAATTCATCGTTTGTACTGAGAGCTTTAAAAATTTACAAACGTCTTAAGTTGAGGGTGCCAGCACCCCCTCTTGGAGCCTTAGTATAAAAAAAACCGGGAAAAATATGACTCTTTCCCGACTCAATCAACGCACTTGTGACGCAACACTTATCGTGATCCTAATGATTTTTTTGATGTTTGTAAATTCCAAAAATGAAAAAGAATTTTCTAACCCATGTGTGTTTTGGTTTTCTGAACACAATGAATAATAGCCTTGAGTAGAAAGTCCATTGATCGTGCTAGCACTACTCAATTTTAATTTTTGATTTTCATAATTTTTTTTTTTTAATGGGATTCTACAATCATAATATATTAATAAAAATGAAGATAGACTAAATTCTGTATAACAAAGAGCTAAAATATCATAATTAATCAATACCGAGGAATTTACTCGATATTACGACTATTGTCTTTATTATTTTATTATAATTATTTGTTGTACGAGTATTATATTAATTATTCAATTTATAACTTTATTTTTTTAGAATATTCAAGTGATGAAGATTTAGAACCATGCAGTCATAAGACTAGTATAAATGTATAATACTTCATAGTTTTCTATTATGATGTTTTTGTGAAATACAACTTATGTACTAATGCATATCCCAGATTATTTATTGTTTATAATAAACTGATGCTTACATTATCTTTAACGCAATTAGGTTGCGAAAGAAATTTTTCCAAATTAAAATATATTAAAATCTACTTAAGAATTATCTTGGGGCAATAAATATGGGAATGTTTAATACTGATGATTGTAGAAAAAGATTTATTGAATAAAATAAATTAAATCGATGTCATAAATAAATTAGAAACTAAAAGTAGTAAACTATTATCATTTTAATTGTATTTTTTTATTTATTTTATATTGTTCTTACACGTTTTTTGTCATTTTTTATATTTCCATAATTTGAGTGAAATAGTATTTTTTTGTATATTTGTAAGCTTTAGTTATATGTGGTCTTATTAAATATATTCCAGTAAAAAAAAATGCCTATCCGCCCATGGTTGCGCCCATCCATACACTGATCAAGTTTTAACATTTTTAATTGTTTTTTTTTTTTATTTAATTTCATGAGCAAATATTATGTAATAAATTAATTACCGAAATGGTTGCATTTATTTAGTTATTATCATGTGCTTTTATTAATAAAATCAATCTTTCCTAATGCCTTTATTTTGTATAGATTTAAAAGCTGCCGAAAGATTCGCTTCTTCATATCGAAATTAAAATAGAGTTGCCTAAGAAAAAACTTACCCCTCCACAATGCTTGATTGTCCAACTTATTTTTACATAAGTATTTTTTATCGCCAGTCACCTTGATCTATCAAATGTGAAGATCACCAATCCCTCTGAAATACACCAACTTTCGTCAGTACCCTCCAAGTGTGCCCTGTACACAGGACAATATACAGCCTCATATAAAGAATGTCCGGTGTTTAAAAAAACTTATGGTAAACCACAAAAATATGAAATAGACAAACTCCATCATCATTCCGCTCTTAATTTCACCAATCCACTTACAAGTTATGTCACTCCCAGCTCAGACCAGGAACAAAAATCATATGCCAATATCACTGCTTACTTCACTGCACACCACCTTCAGCTATGCCTGAAAACTCGATTTCCAAATGTCTCGACTATTTTAAAGCTATAATTAATCCATCACTACTCCAATTAACAATCTTCGCCCGTCTTCTATTTCTATATCATCCCCTTAAAATAAAAGTATTAAATATTTCAAAAATTATTAATTTCTCTCCTATTTTCGCCCTCACCCTACCCAAAAAAAACATAATTAATCTCTTAGGTTTGCTTGAATTACATTTTTTTGACCAATTATATCTCCTATTAATATTATATTTTTTCTCGTAGAGAAAAAATATTATTTTATTATTATTATTTAATATGCTGTTATTTTCAGTTTGTTGTATTATGTGTAATAACTTACTATTTCTAATTTTGTACAGTTGTTTTAATTAATTGTTAGACTATCGTATAGAATTCAGTAATTATTGAGCTATAATATTTTTCACTGAAACCTCTTAAATAATGAAAAAAAAAATCAATCTTTACTACAACCAGTCTTGTAAGAGATACTGTTTAAAAGTATTCAAATACAGATGCTTGTTATCAAAATTATTTAAAATACGTATTTAAACACTTGATAAAAAAAGTATTCAAGTACGATTATAAATATTTAAAATAGTATTCATAGATACTTTCAAATACTTAAAATAATTTTATAACGTTGATTGTCTCGTAATCATAAAAAAATATAAAATAATTTTAAAATATACATTCATGTCTTACTCCAATTATATAGGGTATGTACCAAAGAATCGTTGATTAATAATATAAGAAACAAATAATTTATCACACTTTTATAACATTATTCTTTTAAATTTATCATCAGTCATTTGACCTCTTTTTTTTGTTTAGGACTGCTATTCTTACACTAAAAACCCTTTATATAGGTGCACTACTGAGCACCTAATTCTACAACTGCGAATTCTTATTGATGACGAACACTACAAATGTTTTACAGACGATATTTAGAATAATATATTAGAACACTTACGAGTCCTTAAAGAGGAATTATCAGATACTTCTCAGAATATGGTGTAGTAGACACTGATGTTGTTAAAAAGCTAATTCGTAATCCTTTCACTGTCCAAGTCAACAACGTTCGAGAAGAAATGCAAGAAGAATTAATAGAACTTCAGATGACAGCAACTTGAAGAGTTCGTTTGAATATAATTCAAACATAGAAGAGTTTTGGTGTAAAAGGCCATAGGATATCCAAACATTTAGCAAACAGCATTACGTTTCCTCGTGTTTTTTTTCAACCACATATTTATGCGAGCAAGGATTTTTTTTACTATTATTTATAAAAAATACACATCTCGAAATCGTCTGAATCCGAATGATGATATGCAACTGACACTAAACAACAGCATCGTTCCAATAACTCCACAACTGGTAAAAGAAGCGCGCCATAATAAGTCACATTAATTAAGTATTCATTAATATAAATTTGTTACATTTTTTTTCTCATTGAATAAGTTAATTAATATATGTTCCTTAAATGTAACATTTGAATTTGTATCACCTTTATTTATTAAAATATATTTTTAAATAAATAAGTTAAAATATTTTTCCACGTCATAAACTGTATTTCTGATTTTATTTTGTACCTAGAAATTATAAATGTGACAGTGAAAATTTATAAAAATGGTCCGCGCCTAATATTGAGTTGGGAACCATTGGCTTAGGCGATTACTTAATTCTTAGCTACCAATATTAACGACATAAATAACAATAATTTATATAAATCATGCAATTCTACCCCTATCCTCAACACTCTAATACTTATCGATACTACTATGTTAGTTCGTTTAAATATGCAATAAATAATTAATTGAATTTATTCTATTGGCGAATTTTCAATTTACCAACCCACAAATATTTTTTTATCAAACATATGTTCAATATCATTCATAATAATAAAATTATGAATAAAGTTTATATTTATTGAATTTATCATTATTTTCAGTCAAACTAGTTAAGTGTATAAAATACAATGTTCAGGCAGTTACAATAAAAGGTAAATGCCTGCGATGTATTTCTTAAACCGTTCGATTCGCCGCAAAAAAATATATCGTCGTAATACAAAACCATAATGTTGCAATTCGTCTTAAACGGTTTGCTGAATAATTTATTGTTATGCCGAAAACGTGTCGACTTGATCCCTCAATGAATATTTCCGGTAATGGGATATCCATTTCTTAATCCTATGCTTGTAAAATTTCCGAGCTTTAACCACCGATTCCGGATCCTTGACATTTGCCGCCCTCAAGTCCAAGTGATGGGCGGATTCGGGTATTATCACTGCGGTCACGGTTTTCGTAATGTTATACAACACTCCGCCACTCGACCACGGGTCCAATAAACCGTTGCTGTAATTGAAAAATCAAAATAACAAAGTACTCATCGGTATGATGTACGATTGTGAGTTAAGAACTAAGATACCGACTGATCACGATTGGTAAAAAACGAATTATTTTGAGATATTTTACCGTGGAATATTTTTAATCTTTCTTTTTTACTTTCTATAAACTAAATATAATATATGTATTCGTATACTAAGTAATTATATTGCTTGGCTTTTTGATATTTTTTTTTTTTTTTACAGAAAGCTAGTGATAAGAATTTACCTGAATATTATATTGGAAGAATCCTTTATATGTTTACCACCGTATATTTTTTCGATAATATCGACACTAGGCTGGACTTTATATGTTTTTTGGCAATATTTAGCATAATCTTCGAAATTCCATGGCTTATTTTCGAATATATCATCTTTTCCATTGGAACACATTGGCATGACCATTTCTGTGCACGCCTACAAATTAAATAAATAATTAATTTCGAAATAAATGAATTTGTGTGAACCTATACAATTATTACCTGATATCCCCATCCCTTGGCATCCAACGAAGGAGTTGAGGATGAAATATTTAAACACGTAGATGTACCAGTGTAATTAAAGTAAACGTTCAACCCATTAAAAACTGAATCTAATAGCTTAAAAGTCTGTTCATTATGATTTTTCATCGGTTTACAAAGTTCCTATGATTTACATTAAACACAATTTATATTTTTCTCACTATCTTTTTCTAACTAATCATCGCGTTTACCTTAACCGGATTTCCTGGTAACGGTGCCAAAAAATTAGCCGAGTATGGATAATTTACCATCGCTAAATTCACGTAAACTTCTGATATCCATTCTTTTAATTTTAAAACATCATCATCGTTTTTCAATGGAGAACATAATTTCCATCTGAGGGAAATCAAATCTCTTCCGTGGGCTAAAATGAAATCACGAAAAAATTAATAAATTCAAATTTTAAGTAAAAAAAAAAAAAAAAAAACCAAATACGAATATAAAACGAGACGAATAATATGAAATTATTTGAAAAAAAAAGTATAATACCTGTTTCCGTGGCACTGTCTATAGTACTCCACGACTTTAAAATTGTCAAACCACATTCAGTACTCGTCTTCATGTACACCGAAGATGTAACATTGTAGAATGCGTTGCACGACGTCATCCCGGTAAATTGCCATATCGGTGCTGACGATGCTATAGATCTGTTAAATCAAATGATCGTTACCAAAGCGTTTAAACACATTTAAATACTTTTAAAGTGTTGAAAGAAACACAAGGTTCTAGTTTTCTTATGATGCGCTAAATTATGTAGACACATGAACATTTTTAGGAAATATAGCGTTTCCCTAAATAATTGTTTGTAGAAAAAATTCACTACCACCAACCCTTGGACGATCGCGGGGTACTTGATCCGGAACCAGGCGGCCAGCATGCCGCCGTACGAGCCGCCGAAAGCGATCGCAGGGTTCGCAAAGGTATCATCCGTGACGTTAACGTTTCCGGCGCCGCCGACCGTCCGCCGGTGCTGCTCGGTGCCGTTGCGCCGCAGGTACGTGATCAGGTCCACGTAGTCGGCGAGCGCCTGTTCCGAGGTCAGGTAGCCCAGTTTGTCGTTGTCGTCGTACGACCCGGACCCGTACGGCATCGACTCGCCGTAGTACCGGTGCTCGGCGAACACGATCAGGGCGCCGAACTCCTCGGCTATCTCCCACATAAAACCCTGTGTGGACAGTGCAAATGCGCTACGGGTTAGCTGGCGACTATGATTATGACTATGACTGGTTGCGAAGCGTACGCGCGAGCGTTTCGTTATCGTTAGGGCCAGGGACGGAACTAGGGGATTGTAATTATTACCAACTAATTTGATATTTTTAACTTTGTTGAATACTGATATTAAGTTAAAACACAAGTATGATTGTATATTAATCGTTAGAAATAAATTCCCGAGGAGATTATTTTGATTATTGGTCTATGGTCGGGAGTAATTTTAACATTTTCCCCGGGTGTAAAAATTCCTAGTTCCACCTCTTGTTAGGGCACGTATGTTGTTGCGTTTGCAACTCTTCTTCTACTTTTCATAATTTATTGCTAAGTTAGTTCTAAATGCGTTTTGTGTGGGTACGAATTAAAATTTAATCATTTAAAATGCTATTGTTCGCTATTTTCGACATTTTTTCAATTTCGTTGCATTTTCGTTGATTTTACTCGTTTATAAAAACAATTTTAAATATTTTTTTTTACAAAATTTACCTTTTTAAACGATTTTATAAAAGTGTCATGAAATAAAATTTGCAAATTGTTTTAAGTCTGAAGTACTTGATGTATACTATCTATATATCTTATTGTCTATTGATAATAGACAGAGATACTCAAGAGATAGGCAAGATACTCTTACCGTGTTCTTGCAAAACGATTCAATGCTGCCTTCATTACCGGTGTAGAAAAAAATTGGACCGTTTTTCCGTTCCCAGTAAGTGTCTTGATAAAGATACTTCATAAGGAATGTGTCATTGTTCCTGTAACTAAAATGGTCTACCTGTAAACAGATTTAAAATGAACAATTCTCATTATTATTCATATAATTTTCCATAAAATAATCAATAAAAACTACAGAAAACCATCTGAATTGGAATTATTTGAAGAAAAGAAAATCTCTCCAAAAATATGTAATTTGTATAATATATATTTTAATAACCTACGTGTATCGGTTGAGCTCATGACGTCATGTTCAAAAGCTTCATTCTTTTATTCATTACAAGAATACTGTTTTCAAAAGTGATGTTTTTCTCGATATTGTAGTGTATTTTAGTTTTATGAAAAAACATTGAATAAATTAACTTTTCTTTGAACAAATATAGCAATACAGGTATACAAACTTTCCTCGGAAATTTAAGGTGTTTTTCAGCTTAATTTGAACTTATTTTCATTTCGATTTCCCAAATTTTTACATCGAATACAAATATTATTATGGAACGAATTTTTAAATGCTATAAAAATTTTACTTGTATCTACACCAGAAATCCATTTTCATAACACGTATACTGTAATAACTTATCAGTTTGATATTTATATAATATTATAAGACAATAGCGTTTGTTTTAGTAATAATATGTAAATTAAATGTCAAAAATCGTATATAGATTATTTATTCATATTTAAAATTAAATTGAAATGCTAATGTTAATTTAGAAGTATATGTATTGTGATACGATCAACTAGAACGCATTAATCGACTTTGACCGTATAGTATTAATAATCTTATAGATACTGCATGCGTATGAAGTCTCGCGTTTGTTAATCAATTAACGATGGTATTGTACAGAGTATATAACCGTATTTGAACAATGGTTTGCATTAAATATACCGGTATAAGTCAGTATCAATATACAATGCTTAAATATATAAAATATTATTAATCTGTTTTCAAATCGGTAAAATATACTGAATTGTTATTGAAATGTACGATATACAATACATTTGTAAAATATTTACACATTTTTATATTTCCTTTAAAATATCTGTACGGTGTACAAAAATATTAATTTGTGCAGGATTCTATGTAACATATAATCCAACAGAACTGAGAATTGTTAACTGTCATCCTAGTGGATGAATTATGCATATGTGCATTGTTTACTCGGAATTTTTTTTATGTTCTATGTTGAGTTTTGATACTTAGACAATTGACTAAACACATATTTCTACTAACAAATAGTACAAACAGTACAATAGGATACAAAGGTTAATCTATATTTTTAAAGACAAATAAACAAGAGCATATTAAAGTCGATAGGTAAGCAAATTAAAAAAAAATAATCATAATTCCTTATCAGCATGTCAGACGTAGGAAATCACTGTACTCGTACATTATATTTTTATAAAAGCATGACTTTGGACCTAATTACCTACATAAATATAATTTTTATACATTTTGTATTCGAAAACGTATTTAATAATTAGTACCTATATATATATAATTATTATTGATCAACATGAAAAATAATTTGGAACTTACATATCAAATATTATTTGAAAAAAGATTAATATACACTGGATTTTTACAAAAAAAGAAAAAAGAAAAAATTTTTAGTTGAACAGAAAGGACAAGTGAAATATAAATATTTAAATGGTAATTAATACTTTATAATACGGAGTAATGGTGTCATGTTTTGGTAATGGAGTTTTAGAATAAAATAGGTTAACATATCTGGTGCTAGTTGAAAAGCTTGGAATGACAGTCAATGTAGAAAAATCGGGACAATCAATACGGCCACTAAATACTGCTTTAAATGAGACATAAATCAAGTCATGTTCTGCATTGTTCATGATTAAAATGAGTAAGTAAAGGCGTATTAGAAAAATGAGAAATACTAGATAAATATATTACACTTAAAAGTTAAAATGCATATAAATTTATTTTGAACTAACTGCAAAGGAATTTTCAAACCAATATTATACGAAAAATAGATTTTAGATATGGAATTATGATATTATCAAATATCATTAAGAATTATCCATGTTCTCGGACTGAATATGTTCTATGTTTTACTGTTGTTTAATGTGTATTTGATGGAATACAAACGATTGGAATTGTTTTTTACGCCCGATGTGCTTTAAACTTGTGCAGACAATGTGCAGATGAGAATTTCAACGTTGTTAAATTTAATTTGTTCATACTTTTATCTTAAGATTGCACCCGTTTTGAGTTTTTGAGTGTCTGCACGTAAAGTGAAGACGAAAGACGGAAAGAAACCTTAACGATAGTGCGAGACATAAGAAATTCTCAAAAGTACGGCAAAATAAAGTTCCGGACACGACGACACCGCTCGTCGTGAATTACAGCTAACGTCAAAAATGTAACGGACGATTTCTTTGAACAATTTCAAACGTTCGTACGCCTAGTTAAAACGGTTGAAGATTATAGTTCAACCTGTACAGGAGTTTATTGTCAAAACAAAACGGGGGGGGGGGGGGGGGGGGGGCATCTGCGGGGAGGGGGAGAGGAAAGAGGGGGGGGGGGGGGGGGGGGAGGAGGAAATCTACAAGGCACAATAGGCACATACAGGGTGTGCAAACGTCATAATGATGCGCGTAAATGTTGTTGTTTATCGTGAATTTGGTTCGTCGTTGAGAAAAAAAACGTAGTCCTTCAAACGAAAAACGAATCTCGTATATCTTTTCGAGAAGATTTCCGATCTTTTCTATTTTTTTTTTTTTTTTTTTTGCTTTTTTTTTCCAATCGAAGAACCGTAGAAAATGTCCGCGAAATTGCTGCTCAAAGGTCGTTGGGCTGTACGCGATACAACGTTTGCACTTACCGGTACGGTCAAATAGTCGGTCTTGTACGCGTAGTCCGCGTCGGCCGAGTGAACTGCGACGGCGGCCAGAAGCGGCAACCAAGCGGCAAACGACATAACCGCTAAGACACGGGAACACGTTTCTCACGGTCGACGCGCGGCTGTCAATGCACGTGCGAGAACTGAACGCGGCGCGATCCGTTTCCAAGCGATCCCGTCGCGTCCGGCGATAATGTTCCGATCGAACCCGATGAAAGGTCAATGCCGACCGATAAACAACCGGTGTAACAATCTTCTTCTTCCGGAGTTCGTTACGCTTAAAGATTTCACGTACGTCAACCGACGCTTCCCCGTCATTAACCGTCGTAGCCCCTGCTCTATCGAGATCTTCTCCCGCCGTATCCGTAATCCCTAGGCCGCCCGCCGCGAGCTGCCCCCCCCCCCGTACGTTTCCGTTCTAGTACCGCTCTGACCTCTTCTGGTCCCTGCGCAATACGCGACTGCCGATCCGTTGCATCCGTCAACGTTATTACCATAGACGTGCACAGACCTCGTTTTCAGAGTATGCAAAACGTTGCCACTGCCTATCCCTGCCATCACTGAAAGTAGATTTCTTTTTTTGTTTCTGTTTTTTTATTAGAGAATACACAATCTTTAATTATTTTTCTTTTTACAATAAGCGTATGTGTGGAATGTTTTTTTTCTTTGACATGAATAATGGTCGATAAAGAAACCACCCAGCGATGACAATTTTTTTACTTGCTTAGTTTTTTTTTTTTTTTTTTATTGGATATTTACAATCTGTGACTGACAGCACAGTAAGTAAATTAAATAATTTATTTACATTATTATAACTTTGAATAATATGAAAAGAGAGGCTAACCAGTGATGGAACCCAACGTAAATTTATTTTAGATTAACAAATCTCTGCAATATTTTCTTTTAAGCCTATGGATGGGATTTATGGGTTGAGTGGATGAAATTTGCGATACTAATGGGTTAGAATGGGAAGGTAGTTTGGAATAGAAAGATCTGTAGTGTTTGGTGGCTAATTGGTCAACTGACTCGATTTTTAGGTCAGAGTGTAGTGAGGAGTTGGATACATACCAAGGTGCAGACGTTATCATATGGAGGGTGATGGACTGGAATGCTTGTATGGTGTGGATTTGGGACGGCTTAGCACAGCTCCAAATTTGGATGTTTAGTTATTAAAACTTAATTATGGTTCATGAGGTCACTACACCATTAGCGAGCTAATCATCTAGAAGGATTTTCGAGAATATTATTTAAATTGAGTTGTCTAATGAGGAAGTTTTGGTGGTTGACAAAGTGGGACCGTAATCGTTTATAAAAGATGGTTGCAGTTTTGACTATGGTGTTTATATGAAGATCGGAATGTAAAGTGTGGTTTGAGACGTAAAAGTTATCAGTTATTGTTATCAGGCGAAGAGTTGTTGATTGGAATGATTCAATTTTCTGAGTGTTTAATGGTTTAGCTGTTCTCCATACTTGAATACTGTAGGACCAAATCGGAACTAATAGCGTTTTATACAAGTTTAATTTATTTTTCAAATTAATTTTTGATTTTTGGTTTAATAAAAAATAGAATAGAGGTTTCTGCGTCTTTGGTTGAGTAATAATCATTTTTTTTTCTAATATGATGAGCACAGGTAAGTCCTTTGTCTAGATGCATGCCTAAGTAACGAGCGTTTGAGGCAATGGGAATGATGGAGTTGTTTAATGTTATAGGAGGAGAAGTGCCTTTATGAAGAGTGAACGTTACGTGCAATGATTTAGAAGTATTGATTTTGACTCTCAATTTAATATACCAGGTAGATAGTAGGTTTAGGTCATTTTGAAGATAATTTGAGGCCAGGATAGGGTCATTATGGATGATGAAAATAGCTTTGTCATCGGCGTATTCTGCTGCAGAAATGTTTGGAGTGGTTGGTTGGTCGGCAGAAAAAATGTTGAATAGAACTAGAGATAGTATTGCTCCTTAAGGGACTTCGGTGAGAATTGGAGATAGTCCTGAAATTTCGGTACCCACTCGCGTCACAAAGTGGCGGTTTTTGATGTATAATTTAAGGAATAGAAAGTTAATTTAAGCGTTCAAAATGCTGTTAAAAATATTAACACAAATGTCTAAATAACTATTTAAATTAAAATTTTTCTTAAAAAAAAAAATTGACTGGATAGTAATTTATTAATGGTTATAAATGTCTTCATAATTAAAATTTAAAATAAATTATGAAAAAAAAATTAATGCATAACACTTGCAATAGTTTGAGTAATGTATTTAAGTACGTTAAATAAACAAAAACATAATCATTTAAATGAAAAAATAAAATAAATTTGATAAATAATTATAATTTATTATAAAACAATTCTATGTTCAGTTAAGTTTTTAATATCACTAATAATATCTTCTGAATTTGCTTTGTATTTGAAAGCTATTTAATCTCTCTTGAAATACTTCTTAATTTCATTGACATATTAAATCCTTATTATAATATAAAATTTGTGTTTCAAAAATAAATAAACATTTCTAGAACTTAATATAAAAGTATAAAAAAAATCATAATGTAATACAAAATCACATAATAAACAATTAAAGACCAAATATGTTATGATTTTTATTTATTTTATGCATTTTTAGAAAAAAAGGCTCCATGTTTAGGATATACAACTGCATACCCTGCATACCCTCTGTGTACGCCTATGATTATTATGCAAATAGTATGATTATATTATTCGTTTTACGGTAATGCGACCGCAGTTCGGTAACCGTTGTGCGCCCAAACACCGCGCGGTATGTACACGTTACAACGGCAACGTGATAATAGTGATTGACGATCGATGAACGACGATCAATCGCTGTTCGCTGTTAACAATAATATTCTTCTTCTCCTCCTTTGTGTAGCCGGCCTCTATGGCCATACCATCCAGTGGCATGCTCAGGGGCGGGAGGTTAGGGATTCCTTTCTTCCCTATTGTCTTTTTTTGCCGACCGACAGAAAACAACTTGTTAGTTATTAAAGCTGTTTTAGAGTCATTGTTTATTTATTTATTTATTTTTTTTTTTTTATATGTTACAGTTAAAACTCGAAATTTGTCAAAACTAGTTTTAACCAATCAATACTAATTTTTACGAATCAATTTCGTCAAAACTGATATTGACTAATTAACCAGGACTTCAATATTATTACTAGTTCTTAGATAAAATTTTGTAACAAAAGTAAATTCGATATGAGTATAATTTTTATTATTTGTTTTTTTTTTACGATGCAAACTACTGTGGCATTTAGAGTTAAATAATTTTTTTTTCACGTAAGGAGCGATTTATCCCTCATGAATTTTGAAGCAAGATACTTGGTCATTACAGAATTTTATATTGCTAACACCGTTAGGTGTATTGTACTTATATAATAGTTGATATTTGACGCCAACCGGTCAAAGTTATCTTAATTTATTTTCATAAAATAATCCAAGATAAACGCCATAAATCTCTAAATGCCATGATAGTTCGCATTATCAAAACAAATAATAAAATTAATATTAACCCTGATTGCAGTGCCGCAACTACACTAACTTGGGCCCGTGTGTAAGTAAAATGAATGCCCTCCTCCGTATCCGGACTATGCAGAGAAATCGAACCGTATTTGTAACCAAACTATTTTGTATTCCGATTATACAGGCTGTAAAAAAAAACATTGATGTACGATAATGTGTAAAAAACAAAATCAATCAATTATTTTTCAATCTGCATAAGTAATTATTATTACAAAATGGTTTAATTCTCTTGCTTTCTACATATTTTTAAAATATTATCATTGGGCCCTATTATAAGTTAAGGTCATGGGCCCGTGTATTTGATACACGCAACACACCCGGTTTTGCGGCACTGCCTGATTGACTTTTGTTACAAAATTGTATTTTAAAATCAGTATCAACATTGAAATCCTGGTTAAAACCAGTTTTCAGGAATTTCAGGTTTTAACTGTAACATATATGTAACATACATTTTAATAACTATACGGTGGATCAGTTGAGGTCATAACTTTATGTCTCTTGTTCAAAAACATTATTTGTTTATTCATTACAAAAAAATTGTTTTCAAAAGTGATGTTTTTTCTATATTGTAGTGTATTTTAGTTTTATGAAACGATATTGAATAAATTAACTTTAAACAAATATAGCAATACAGGTATATAAACTTTCCTCAGAAATTTAAAGATTTTTTAAACTTAATTTGCGCTTATTTTCATTTCGATTTTTCCAAATGTTTACATCGAACACAAATATTATTATGGAACGAATTTATAAATTTTAAAATAATATAAATGCTATAAAAATTGTACTTATGTCTATATACACCATAAATCCATTTTCATAGCACGTATACTGTAATAACGTATCAGTTTGGTACTTATATAATGTTATAATAGCATATGTCTTGGTAATAATATGTAAATTAAATGTTAAAAATCGTAAATAGATTATTTATTCATATTTAAAATGTGTACAATTAAATTGAAATGCTAATGTTAATTCAGAAGTATTGTGATACGATCAACTAGAACGCATTAATCGACTTTGACCGTACAGTATTATTAACCTTATAGGTACTGCATGCGAATGCAGTCTCACGTTTATTAATTAATTATTGATGATAATTGTACAGAGTATATAACCGTGTCTGAACAATATTTTGCATGGTTTGTATGCATTAAATACACCTGTATAAGTTGGTGTTGAAGTACAATTCTAAAATACATAAAATATTATTTATCTGTTTTCAAATCGGATCAATTATATTATATTTAGTAAAATATCTATCGCGAGTTGTTCATGTGAGAGAGTTTATTCTAAGTTAAATATTGTAAAGTCTGGAATTCGGGTTAGTATTAATCAAGGATCGTAATGACATCTAATATCTTATGAGTATCGAATAAATACTTACAAAACTTGATTTTGGAGAAATAATCGAAGAATTCAATGTAAAAGTTCCAGAGAATTGTTGATTAATCTTATATCTGTTTTTGTGTGATTGATATTTTTATTTGCCATTTTTACAGTATCTATGTAAAATTGTTTGAATTTAATATTGTAATATGATATCACATTTACTTTATTTTTTTATTCGATTAAGTTAAGTTTTAAGTGAAAAGTTGCTCATATTTTTTATTAACGTGTAAAAGTTA